CCCTGTGACTAGGTCAGTCTTCCTTGTTGATCTGGTTTAATAGTGAATGTCTCATTGCATTAAATTTAATAGCCTAGCGCAGCCTGCTTGTCAGACTCCCCTGAAGTTTGTTGTTTGTGGGTTGGTTTTTTTTTGTGGTGTTGGTTGGTGGGAGTTTTTTTGTTTTTATTTTTTTAAAAGCAAGGCTGCAACTGTTCCCTTCTGCTCTGGATTTCAGGTTCTAGTACTTGGAAATAAGAGAGACCTTCCTAATGCTTTGGATGAGAAACAGCTAATTGAAAAGATGTAAGTCTAACCCTTCCTAAGAAAGGCTGCTTTAACTCAGTAAATAAATTCATGTACATAGGTTTGTTAGATCAAGAAGTTTGCGTGTGTAAGTAGAAAACGCAGCAACAGGAGATAGCTGAAACATTGTACAGAAACAAGTTATGTGAAGAAGGGGAACAGTTTAGATTCTCAGTATAAGAGTCCTTGTTATAAGTGAAGTGTATGTTGAAATGTTCTCTCTTTCATAGGAACCTTGCTGCTATTCAGGACAGAGAAATCTGCTGCTACTCAATTTCTTGCAAAGAGAAAGATAATATAGGTAACTATTAACCTAAAATGCTAAGCATTATGAAGAGCTGTCAGAGGATGAATTGGGGGATTGTAACTTGTTAAACACAAGCTTCCTGGCTTCAGGAAACTGGTAACAAATCAAAGAACAATGTGTAAGTGCACTGGTTAAATTCCATATAACTCCTGATGGCAGTGAGGAAGCTTGACTGATATTAAAGTTGTAGGGGTTGTAGTTATGAAAACATGTCAGTCTCCTGTGAGATCTGCTGCCTTTCTTTAGTTAGTTTGCAGCAAATAGCTGACTAGTCTCACTATTAGCTTGGCCTAAATGATTTTATACTTCTGTCAGGTACTCTCAACTCTGCCTCACTTCATGAGGCTAGCAAGTACTTGCAGCAAGTTTTTCCTCAACAGTTGTTCCCTTGAAATAATTATCTTCCCTTGCTGTCTTACCAAAGCAGTTCATGTTGTGGCGTATGCTAGTCACTGCTCAGTGCAGCCAAACAGTAATTTTTTCTGGTGCTGACAATGGCTTTAGAATTTCTGGAGCTCAAAGGCAGAAACCATGGTACCTTGTCATACCAAGTACTTGACACTAGTATTGTAAGTAAACTGAGTAATCTCAACTGAATGAAAACACAGTACTTAACACTTGCCATCCTTCTCCTGATACTGCCTTGTGGCTGCCATGAGATTAATGCTGGTTCATTGGCGGGCTAACATGAGTTTACTGATGAGGGAAACTTCAGGCTGGTGGTCACAGGAACAAGCTATAGAGGATACCAGAACTGCTTTATACTAAGGACTCAACTTTCCAGGAAAAATGAATAGCCTGTGGAACTCTTCTGGCTTCTTATTCAAGAAGCTCCTGTCACCTTTCCTTCAGTTAGAGATTCAAACATGGTGGATAGCAGAGGCAGATACTCCCTTCTATCATATCTCCCACACAGGGCTCACAGCACAGCGTTACTGATGCTGTAGGGAAGGTGCTGCTGGAAGCATTGGGCTGGTATGATGCTAGTGCATTTTACTTCCTTAGGAGATCCTCTTTCAAGCATGGAGGACCTTGATGCCTTGTACTGTAGGGCTAAACTAACTTTGTTCTCATCAGGTGAGAAGAGGCAGACTGGCTAAATAGAGCAATGCTATCTAAAACTAATTATGTGAGCCATACCAAAGTATCAGACTAAGGGATGTCTTTTTCCTAGAGGTGTAGTTGACCGAGGAACCAGGATGTCTGGGGCAGTTCCTTTAAATGTTACTTAAAGGATGCTGGGCAGTTATAGGACTAAAGCACAGACAGCAAGCATTCCAAAAAATCATTCTGTTGATCTGTCTTGTTCCATCCTCTAGAGAAGGGCTGGATATTCCTGTCATGTATTTGAGGACACTGGCATACCAAAGCAGTGCCAGTTATAGAAATACAGGTAGACACTTGAATGTGGAACTTCTCTTCTCTCTCTCTTTAGATATCACGCTTCAGTGGCTTATTCAGCATTCAAAATCTAGAAGAAGCTGAAGTCTTCCTGGAATCTCCAGTACCAGTTGGCCATAATCTCAGTTGTCCACTTCCCTCCATAATGAGATATTACCCAAAAATCCTGTATCAAGAATCTGCCTTTTCACGGTTCATTTCTCATGTGCACTGCTGAAGACTTGTATTCCTATTCTGTCACAAAACAACTAGAGTTGTCATGATAAAGTCAGCACAAATATTTATTTTACAACCATCTATGGTGGGAGGGTTGTGGGGGGGGCTTTTTAAAAAGAAAAATCTCTCTACCATGTTAACTATGATGGTACACTCTGTTCTGGTTTTTCAGGGCCAGGTTTTTATATGATTTTCAGCAAGTGTTTTATTTCTAGTGTTTAGTGGCTTGAAGATGCTGATGCTTGACAGCATTAAGATTCTGTAAGATGCCACATACAGTAGTTAGAGAACATTTAAGCGTGAATTGTGGGATACTGATTTATCTCACACATGCATGTGATGTGTGTATGTAAGCAGAGAAACGGAAACTGTTTGCAGAGGGGAGCACAAGGCACAGATCAGCATCACTAATCTACAGCTGAGATCTTACCGTGTCACTTGAAAAAGAAAACTCTCATGATGAATTAGGAAGGAGTCAACTGTTTAAAATAATTTTGTTGCTTCTGTTTAACATTTGGGGGGGGGGGGGGATTGGAATGGACTGTTCTGTCAAGCTTTCAAAAATTGGAGTATTCCAGCATGAAAACAAATTGCTAGGAACATCAGACTTTGTTCAAATACATTTTTCTATCTGCAGATACTAGTGGTCTCTATCTGAAACCAGAACACACATTCTGAGCAGCTGCATGACACTTAAATTACTGACGTTTTTGTATAGAGTCAGTCGTTGACCTTTAGCACAATATCTATGTAATTGTCTAGTGTCTCTCCTGCTCATGAAATGGCTGGGCACAGTTTCACCTGGTGCTATGGAATATCTAGGCTATTGTGACAACTCTAGACCTGCCTGCTTTCTTGATGTAACCATGTGCAAAGTCTGTAAGTTGCAAGATGAAATGTTTTACTGTGTCAAAGCACAAGAGAGCCAATGAATTGATCCTGTTTCTTGACTAGCTCCTACAGTATAGGGAAGTATGTATAAACTAAAGATTGTAATGTTTTGTAGCTTTACTTTCTCAATGACTTCAGTATATTTAAAGGGACAGACTTGTTAAGACTGGTTTGTTCATACAGTAATGTCAGTGTAGCTTACTAGCGTATGCAAATACATGGTACACCTGCTTGTGTTGCCTCACACTGTGTGTGATTCCTCCCTTCAGTGTAGTTTGCATTACGTCGGAGTCTTTGGTTGGAAACACTGTTTAGTCCATATCAGTTATGACAAGCCAGTTTTAATTTAGACTGCCATGGCCTTACTGTTTTGTACCAACTGTCGCACTGTTGCACAGACACTACATGCTGCCTGCATTCAGTCTGAACTTGCATTTTAACTTTTTGTCCCCTTTCAGTTCTCTGAAGCATGATTTCAATTAATTCATACTCTGGTGCTGTAGAGGAGAGGGTGTATTAACTTGCTACTGTAGTCCCTAGTTCACCAGGAACTGTTACAGTTACTTTTATTTAGCAAACTTGCTTGTGCCTAAAATAAGGAAACTAAACTAGAATGTGTGAATCTTTGTGAGGGACCAGGTCACTGTTTAGTTAACTGGCCTATAGCTAAACTTGATGTGTTTGGTGTTTATATACTTCACTGCTTTCAGCATTTATGGCATCCAAACACTACCAATTGTTAACCTGTGCATTACTCTCTGCATGTGAAAAACTTATACAATTACTGAACTTTGTAAATACGTGAATTTTTTTATTTAGGTGGATGCATATGTTGGTTTACTGCTCTTCAGCTTTATTCAATAAACTTATGTTTTGAGGGTTGTATTGACACTTAACTGACTGACTTGAGTTGATGTGGCTTAACTCATGGAAATACATTATGGGATGTCTGTCTCCTTTCCCACAAGATTACAGTGAGCTGCTTTATGTTCTGTGGTTCAACTATTCAAGTGAAATGCTTATAAAACTACCTTTCAGGCCTGGGGCTCTCTCAGCTTACATGAGCAAGCTTAGCTAGTCAGTCTTGGCAGACTTCAGAGCTTTTTTTATGCTTATGAAAAAGCACTGGTCAGCTGAAAGGTCTTAAGTAGGGGCAGCATTATGGAGCTCTGTTTTCAGGAGAAAAACGCATGTGTCTACAAGCTTGTTTCTTGTTGTCAAGCCTAGAGTAAAACCTTTGCTTCTCTAGCACAAGTGTCAGATCTAGCAGTGCCTGATCATTCACTGCCAATTAAAGCATAAAGATTCTTATCTGCTTGGAAAGTGAGGCTTTTGTTGACTGAGGTCTTGAACAAAATCTTACACTGACTGTTCTTCCCAAATGCTTTGCTGCATTCATTTCTCTTGGGTCACTGATCAACTTATAGGACCGTATGTCAACATCTTCCAAGTAATGGTAACAAATTGGATGTCTTCTGTTCATGGCCTGCCTCCATGTAAGCTTTCAAACTTACTGAGCTGTAACAGGTTCGTTTTTAGGCCTGAGTACTGGTCAGTTAGCATCCTTCACATGTAACTCAGCTGGTGGGAAGGACTAATGAACTGTTGAGTAAAAGATCATGTGTGTATTTCTTCAGTTGATGGGGTTTCCTGCATGCAAAACAAGCTACCTGGAGTTAACGTTGAAAGCAAAATGCCTCTAGATGCAAAAATCTGAAAACAGTATTACTGCTGTAAGATTTGTCACCTTGCTTGGTCTGATACCAGTACTAATCACTGAAATCAGCTGTGGTGGGAACTTGACCAACAGCTGTTTGCTTGATGCGGTATTTAAGTAATAGTTTCTATTTCTAAATGTAAATAGCAAGGAGAGCTACACTGTCTACCTATGATGTGTGTACTCCAAAAAGTACATTTTTATTCACAAAATGACTCCACTTAGGTTTTCACAGCTATTCTTGTACAATTCTTCCAGATGCCTTTAGTTACTCACATGGCAGAAATGTAGACCGTGAAGAGACTATGTGAATCCAGTGCAGAGGATTACACTTTTTCTGTTTGAGGGCTTGATTAACTTTCCAACTACCTTCATTTTGAAACAGAAGAGAAGGGTAGTTAAGGCTTTCCAGAGAAGCAAGGCTGTTCTCAGCACCTTTCAGCCTTGGACTGAAAAAACCACTCACTCATCTGGCACGGTTAAGTCCAGGGTTAAACCTTTTCTGTTCTAATAAAGGTGTGGAGCCCAAGATAGGCATTAGCAGTGTTGTCTGCTGAACTTGGATGCTATAGCTGTGTTCTGCTTCTAGAAATCTGTTGGGCCAGTCTAATCGCTCATGGTGATTACTTGTCTCAGGCTCTGTAGTGAGCCTGGACAGTAAAAAGAGACTGATTAAATTTCCCTTTCTCTTAATGAAAGTTGCTTTGGGGGATGCGTTTTAGTAACATAAATTATTGTACTTAAACATCAATAGCTGTAGTCCTGAAACTCTCTTCTGATGTATCTGCAGTAGGCCTTGACTATTAGCATATTAAGAAAACTGGGTCTTGTGAAAAGGCAATTACTGAGCCAGAGAGAACTCTGAATCAATATGCGTGCAAGTTGGACACCAGTCATACCTTTATGATCTCATGATGTGTTGGTATTGTATGGCATCCTGATGATTTAAAATAGCTGTCAACTCTAAATACTTGCTGTTGGTTTTGTTCAGTACAAGTGATCGCTCTTACTGATCATAGAGCAGCACTGGGCTGTGTGACAGTTTTCCTTGGAGTGTTAATGTCCTGTCAATGTTAGTGTGGATGGTGGTTTCTTTAAGTGCAATTACAGAGCAGTGTGATTCTCATCATCACCCCGAGTACAGCTGAGTGTCTTAGCAGTTGCACAGAGCGATTTCTGTCATACCACTTGGCAACATGAAAAATGCACAAATGTGGAGCTGTTTCATGATCTGTGGAACTACTAATCTAGTTTCTTATCGATTTGTGTTTTCTCTTTGCATCTTTATGGAAACAGGTTGGAAAGATGGTCCTTTTTGGATGCTGACATATAAAACTGCATAATCTTCACTTTCTGGTAGAAGAAAGGAGGCCAAAGAAAATGCCTTAAACAGTCTCTCTGGTTAAATTAATATAGGAATGTTGTGCAGGGATCTATAATAACTTGAAGTATGACTTAGCTGGATTATCAAGCTTTTAACTTTTCTAAGGTTTCATTTTATAGTTACTGTGGCTGTGCAATGGCATGTCATGATTTGCTTTGTGCGTGTTTACTGAATGTGAAAGAAATGTGCTTCCTCCCGGTAGCATGCCCCAGCACTGCTCCCTGCTGGCTTGCTTTTGCACTGACCCTGACTGGAGAGAGCTGTGTGAATTCTAAATAGGGGGGTGTAAATCAGGTTACTTAAGCTACCTTGCCAAGAGTGGTGCGTTGCCAATGACACGAACAGCAAAGCAATGAATCGTGTTAAAGGAGAAGTAATGTGTGAATGCCTGAGACTAGTACGTGCTTCAGGACTTTTATTCCCAAAATATGAACGTAGAATGACTTGTCTCACTAAATCGTAAGCCTTCAATAAGTAGTCTATTGCTTTAGGACTACAGATGCTGAACGTCAAGTATGCCTTGGTGAAACATCAGGGAATTTCTTTTACATGTCACTTAAATGACAAACACGAAATGGCAGTGAAAGGGGGTATGCACATACTCTTTTAAAGGAGAAGTAAAATATTTGATGTTTTTATTTCCATCACAGTGGAAGGTGGGTAAGTAGACCTTTGTGCCAGGATTAGTGCCTTTTAATTATGACATTACAGGTTTTATTCTGTTAAAGGCAACATCTATCATTGTGATCATTTTGAAGTGCTTCAATAAAGTGTTGTTGAAAACCATTCTTTTGCATATTCATCTGTAGTAGTACAGCTGCTTTTATTATTGTTAGAAATATATAAGAAGCCCTCATTACCAAATTGTGGGAAGCTTTGTTACACTCAAGCTAACCTAAACACATCTATGCTAAAATTTAATTCTTTAGATCATCTGCGAGAAGAGCAAACAGGTTGACTCCTTGAAGCACTCTTCTAACAATGAAGAGAGGAGGTGGTACTGCTTCCATGTAGGCAGGTGCATTCAAGAAGTCTTTCCTGGCCTAATTAGGAAACTTCACGTTTTAAACACTGGCATAAAACAGTGATCTTGAGTATATGAATGAGGCTAATTCTAAATGAATTCTAAATGTCATATTTTTGTTTAAAAACAAATCGGTACTTGAATGTTGTTGCCTGGTTGATGCTTGGTCAGTGTGTGCTGTGTGTTAGGAGAGTGGTTTCTGTGGAAACTGGTAGGAGCGTTAACTACATACCTTCATTTTGAGAGCGTGACCGTAAGCCTTGTGCTCGGTGGGGGACAATGTTCCATGAAACTATTTCTGATTATGGTTTTGGTTTAGGTGCTGGAAGCATTTTGTTGGTCTCATTTGTGTTTCTCTCTGAAAAGACCTATCAGGGAGAAGTTCATAAACCATGTTATTCAACAAACAAAGCAAGTAAGTCAGTAGAGAAAGAAAAAGCTGTTGTGATGTGTGAAATTTAAAGCTAAACTTGGTTCTCATGAGTCTCAGAGTCAAGTAAACTGATAAGTTGCTTCTGTATAATTGTGTTAACTTGGGGTGTGGAAAGATATTTCAGTCTTTTTTTTTTTTTCAGTCAGAATTTTTGTCATTTTTTAGATCAATAAATGAATCTCCTTCTTGGTGCGAAGAATAATATTTCTGGTGCATAAGGGGAAAAACATTAAAAAGATGCATGAATTCCACAGACTGAGGAAAGGAACTGAAAGAGCAACCTCAGGCTGTTATGTTTAAACAGGCTGGAGGATTTTAACAGGAGTTGGCATACAGAAGTCTTGATGAACCATTGGATTGGGATTTTTTTTCTTTTTTTTAGATTTGTGCTACTGTTTCTGTTGCAATGAATGGAACACAAAGAGCAAGATCTGACTTCTGAAATAGAGAGTATAAAATACAGGCTGAAGACAAATCATTTAATGTCTGGTTGTCTGTCTATGCGTGATAGCAGTCTTCAAATATTTTTTTTTTCCCCTGTGTAGGGATTGTTCATATTATTTCTGTCAAACTGGTTTGTAACAAATCATGCACTTTCTTCCTAAAAGGATGCAATGCTAGAGTGAACACCAGTCCTCAGTTCAGCAATAAAGCAGTCACGCTTACAGCCACGGTTACTAGTGATGCTGTTAAGGTTTCTGGGGTAGCTGAGAGATGGGTGTCTCCTCTTTACCTCCCCCAGCTGTAGTTTCTTTACTGACTGTTCTTTTGACTGTGTTTGAGGGGTTTTGTTTTCACCAGTACTGTCTGACTCTATTCTCACTTTCATATCTACAATTTGCAAGTGGCTTTTGTCAGTTTTTCTGTTTATGCTGCTTTCTGGAAACTCCAGCTGCCTCGGAGCTTGTTCTTTGCTCTCTTCCAGCGCCACAGCGAGCGCTGGTTTCGCCGCTGCTGTCATCGCCCCCGTCGCTCCGTTTCCCATCTCGCTGCCCCAGCCCTTCGGCCCTCGGTTCCGCCGCTGTGCGAAGCGTCCCTCTCCCCACCGCGCTCTCACGGCACGGCTTGCTCCGAGCTGCTGCCCTCCCTCAGGCGCGGAGGAAAGCTCGTCCTCCCCTCGCGGGGAGGGTCGCTCCCCAGCCGTGTCGCGTTGCTGCGGGTCACAGCGAGGCTCTCCGGGCGCCGGCTGCGGGGTGAGCGGGCCTGGGCCGTGCCAGCAGCGGGAGGAACGGATGGCAAACTTCACCTGCCTGGGTGGGGGTGGCGTTGGGGAAAACTCTCGTTTCCCATTCTTCGCCCCATCCCTGAGGGCTGCGAGGCGCCCCGCCGGGCAGCG